AACAATAACCCGCTCGCATACACATGGAAAAGCATATTGCACCACATCACATAATCACATAAATTGTCGGTGCCTAACTGATATCAAATGCCTGACATCATGTACGAATGAGTAGGAACGAATTGAAGACATAAGATTCAATCGAAAATCAAATTTCACGACAAGGAATCAAGAAAGAGAAGTTCTTCTAACAGCCTTGTATCCTCTCGAAGATAAGTACAAACATCTTCATACGATCCGCAAGACTCTTACCAAAGTTGTTCATGGCTCATGAGGCCTAAGTAAACCTAGTGCTCTAATAGCAAGCTCTCAAGACCAAATCCCCACAATAGGACGTGATGGCGCCCAACGCTGCCGTTAGGCAAGTCAACAATTATATCAACATGCTGATAAATATATCAAAGCGCGTCTCAAAACAAATAATCGAAATTGTTCATTTTCATAATAAAATAGTGATTTTAATTTAAAGGTTCGAACATGGTCAAACATAAATAGATAGATAATAGCACCAAGAACAAGAATCTTAATCCCTAGAACCTAATGCACAAGTGCATGAGAATTTACTTAAAATTACAATACTGCTACAATATCTGTCTGGAATAGAAAATGGACAAAATATAGATAATGAATAAGGTGGGACTCCCTGTGTTGTGGATCGTAACGTGGAATGCAACTCACCAAAAAGTCTCCTCAGCAGTTGCGCCTATACGCAAAGATGACCACCAAATGTACATGTCTCAGTACTGCACAATTAGCACAGAATTATAGTATGAGTATGTAAATCAACACATACTCAGTAAGTATCTAGCCTAACCTCGAAGAAGGGGTGATGAGGGGTAGACATTGACACTTACTAGTGGTCCAACAATCAAAGTACAATAAAAATAGACAAGCATGAGGCATAGCAAGTAAAAACAACGAAACAGATATATGTGCATAGCACGAACCATAACAAAAGAGTAAAATGAAGTCCTCAAATAACGGATACTACCTCAAATGGAATACATAATGATCGATACCAAATAAAATGTCAAATATCAAATTAGAAAGGCTAATGGGTATGCTGACTCCTTATTGAATATTACGCGTGATTCTACCGAGGCGAAAGACCAGATCCCAAAAAGAGTATTTCATAGAACTAACAAGGCAAACGACTCGATCCTATAGGAGTGTGTTACATAATACTGCCGAGGGGAACAGCCGATCCCATAAGAGTAATTTTGAGGCGTCCAGTCCGATCCCATAAGAGTGTATTACATAATATTGACGAGGCGAACGACCCGATCACACAAGAGTATTGTTGAGGCATTCAACCCGATCCTATAAGAATATGAAACTTTGTCGGGTCACTAGCCTCACTCACAAAAATAAGTGTGAGTTATGAAATTCACGAAACATTCAGACAAATACATACAACGCGAGAAAAATCCGCAAAAGTAAGTATAATTTCCATGACTAATCAAGTAGCTCGTCAAGTATCTAAAATAGTAAGGTTCAATACTCTATGCAAGTCTAGTCTCAGGCTAACATAAAATCAAGCCACTTAAACATGCCAGAATAACTTAGATAATACAATTAAAATATGGTGTGAGTCTAAGTCTACCCAGACATAATCAAGAATTCTAGCATACACACAGACACTCGTCATCTCATACTGGCGTAGCTCCCATAGCACGTAACACATAACAAATGTAGCATCTACGGGGTAAATTTCCTCTTACAAGGTTAGACAGGAAACTTACCTTGCTCCGAATTTTGATAACCTGCTCCAATGCCTCTCTAACACCTCAAACCAATGCCAAACGATTTGAAACTAGTCAAAGAATATGCAAAACAATCAAAATATACCAAAGACTCCTAATTTAATCAATTAGAAATGATTCCTAACTCTACACGAAAAGTCAACAAGGTCAACCTCCAGGCCCACGCACCCGAACTATGAAATTTCTCCAAGATAAATATTGCCCATGGTATAACGAACTCAAATATATAATTTATTCCTAATTCATGTCTAATTTTTTGGCCAAAACTCAAAAATATCATTTCTAGATTTTCTTCCAAAATTCCACAATTTCTACAAATATTCATGTACAAATCTACATATAATTTATGTATTTAACTCACAATGACTACGAATCACTTACCTTGTGATAGATGATAAAAATGCCTCTCCAAAATAACCCCAAAATCGGCTCCAATGAGAGAAATGAGATAAAAAAGAGTTAGGACTAGATTTGCAATATTTTACACTACCCATTCGTCCTTAATCGCGATCGCTGAAGCTCCCAGATGATCGCGAAGGCCTAACCAGCCTCGCCTAGAACTCCTTCTTAGCGAACACGAGGTCCCACTCACGATCGCGACCCTCATCCTACACGAGTGCGATATTTGCTCCGCGGACGCGAAGGACACACCTTCCATCCTCAGAAAAATACCTTCTACGATCGCGGACTTCCTCACGCGATTGCGATGAGAAGCCCTCTAAGCTAGGCCATCCCTCTAACACATTGTGTTCGCGCCTTAACCATGCGAACACGAAGATCAACCAAACCACCATGATACCATTGCAATGCCCTCCTGCGATCATGAAGAATTAATTCTTCTCCAGCTCCAACAACCTTTGGCGATCGCCATACCTCCTATGCGATCGCGATGCACACCCCTGACACTAGAAACTCGTAACTACAAATCAAAGGGAATTGGTCTGAAACCATCCTAATACATACCGAGGCTCCTTAGACCCTGTCCAATCATACTAACAGGTCCCTATATCTTATCCAAACTCATCCAATGGCTGGAAACGCCACAAATAACATCAAAATCACGAATGGATGATCGAAATCCTTCCTTTAACATTCAAACATTCAAACTTCGCTGATTGCATCCGAATCAAGCTTAGACATTACGGATTATGACCAAACTTCACACACAAGTTTCATTCAACTAAATGAACCTATCCAAGGTCCCGAAATAATTTCGGGGTCCGGTAACACCAAGCTTATTCAAAACCTTCAAAACTTCCAATAATAAGCGCCAAATCACTGTTGGAACACCTGATACTTAATTTGAACATACGCCACATTCTGAGATCGTTTACTCAATAGTCAAATGTTGGTAAACTCTTCAAACTTAAAGTTCCCGAATTAGGAAGTATTCTACGAAATCAACTCCGAACTTCTTGGAAATCAAAATCGACACGCAAAAGTCATAATACATACAGTAAAGCTAGACGAGATCTCAAACCGCCGAATGACATGCTAGAGCTCGAAACAACCAGTTGGCTCATTACAGTTTATCTGACCAGGCAAGTTTTGAAAAAAACGTCCTTCATGTTTAAGAGCTAGGAAATGGATCCTGACGTAGGCCTTAATCTAGCCAGTTATCAGCTTTATGCTATTATCTTGAATTTTCTTCTTTAGGTCTATAGTAATCTTCTTACATTTTTTTTTAAAAAATAATTAAAATTGCATTTTTATTTTTAGTGAAATGCTCTTACAAGTATGAAAGTATAGAATTTTTTGGTTGAAGATGAAAGTTCAAAAGGTTGTACATTTGTTAAATTACTGGGCATGACACATTAATGAAGTCTACATTATCAATGTAACAATAAAGCTACAATAATTCCTGAGTCTAAGAATTTAACAATTCTTCGCTTTCTAGATCATCAAACCATACATTCATTTGACCAGGTCAGCTATGAGCATGTTTGAAAGTTATATTGATGAGTGAGCATGTTTATAGTTTGTGAATGAAATAACAGTTCAATTATTTTTTTTTCCTGATCTTCCCTACAATGAAAACACAAACTTTGATTAAGACAAATAAATCAAGCAAAAGAACAAACAATGTGAAGCCAAGACAAAACATTTATATCTATATATTGTAGCTTTTATTCTGCACCTATGAAAGACATAAAGTGTATATGAAATCATAACCTCATATAATCTCATTTGATGAGTTCAGATTGCAGCAGATCACTATTACAGTGGAACAAGCCAGTATGCGGTGAAGCTGGCAAGTGGGGACGGAATCCGTTGCACTATGCAGTCAGGCTCAATTTCATTGAACTGATTTCTGAAATACTAGACAAAAGGAGATCCCTAGCCTACTTACCTGCAGGAAACACTAGTGACTGGACGATTGTATTTGTCTTGCTCATGGTCACAAGACAGGGCAAGCACAAATAATATTTCCTAATATTTTACTCCATGCATCTTATTGGAATTCAAGTTTGAACATTACAAGGGACGAAGTACTAGTTGCATAGGCATTATGTTTGTGCCCTATCTTATACCTGAGCTTCCAATTAAACGAAACTATCATCCTTAATGACTTTTTTGAGGTAAGCAATGGCATTGGCTACCAATTATAGGACATAATAGAATGCCACTGCTTCGAGTTGGTAGAATGGGGAGACATGATTTCAAAATAGGGATGCAGGACAAGGAAAAGAAAAAGTGAAAACAAGGGACTAGATGTTGGGAAAAATAATATCCCGCCCAAGAATAATACCCGCGGCAAATAATAATAAGACAAGAGAGTAATAACGATACCAAATCTTTTAACGGGGCAAAATACAATACACGAGCAGAGCAATATTATCACAATAATATTACAACTTAGTATGTCAACAGACTACTACAACTTCGAAAGAAATAACACTCTTTATTTTAAACACCTCACAATAATATTACTCAGACTCATTATTTATCTCACAGACTACAATATGTGGATTACTCTCTCTATGCTCTATTCGCTCTCTGATTTTGTGTGCTTGAAATGAAGAACGAAGGCTTCTATTTATAGCCAAAGTTGTTATCCCTTGTAACCAATCAAATTTGATTTTACAAAAATCAGATTTGCCTTTTTCAGAATCAGATTTGGCTTTGCAAAATCGGACTTGTCTTTGCAATTTGCAAATGCAAATTGCACAACTTGTTTCAGCCATCCATTTTTCTTTTTCTTTTATTTATTTTAAATGGGTCCCACAAATCTCTCCCTTAATTTTGATTTTTCTTCTTCATTCCAAGTCTTGATCTCAATCTCTGGAAGTCATCAAACTTGAGAGGCTTTGTAAAGATATCCGCAGCTTGATCATGAGACTTCACATATTTCAGCTTGACTTCCTTCTTGGCAATGCATTCTCTGACAAAGTGATACCTTGTATCTATATGTTTGCTTCGATCATGACACACTGGAATCTTCGCGAGTGCTTGTGCGGATTTGTTGTCTATACAAATCTCTGTAGCGTCACATGTACAAGATCCTTCAATAATCTTTTCAGCCAAATAGCGTCACATGTACAAGATGTTGCTGCTATATATTCAGCTTTACAAGTCGAGAGTGTAACAATTGATTATTTCTTTGAACTCCAAGAAATAACAGAATCACCCAAGAAAAATACAAAACCAGTTGTACTTTTTCTATCATCAATATCTCTCGCATAATCACTATCACAAATTCCCATAAGGTTGAAATCACTAGAAGAATAAAATAGCCCAAAGTCAATCGTACCTCTTACGCAGCGAAATATTCTTCTAGCGACTTTCAAGTGAGTGGAGCTAGGAGCCTTCATGAAGCGGCCTACTACTCCAACTGCGAAGAGTATATCTGGCCTGGTACAAGTCAAGTACCTTAAACTTCCCACAAGACTTTTGAAAAATGTGGGATCCACCTTTTCTCCTTCATCGAATTCGGACAATTTTGTCCCACTCTCCATCGGTGTGTTCACAGGAAATCGAGTATGTTGAACATCTTCATTATCTCTTTTGTATAGCTTTCTTGAGAGATGAAAATTCCATCCTCTGTCTGGTTCACTTCTAGGCCCATGTAGTATGACATGAGCCCTACACCCGTCATCTCGAACTCACGAGACATATCTTTCTTGAAAGCTTCAAACAAAACTTGGGTTATTACCCGTGAAAATAAGATCATTAACATAAAGATAAACAGGCAAGATATCTCCATTAGTATGAACTTTAAGGTAAAGAGCATATTCATGGAGACAACGAGTAAACCCATTTTCTTGAAAATACTTGTCGATGCAACTATTCCATGCTCCCGGGGCTTGCTTCAATCCATATACAACTTTGTTCAACTTCAACACTTTATCTTCATGGTTTTTGACCACGAAGCCCAACGGTTGTTCAACATATACTTATTCTTCGAGATAGCCATTCAAGAAAGATGACTTGACATCTTGTTGGTGGATCTTCCACTTCTTTTGCGCCGCCAAAGAGATCAGCAAATGAATCGTCTCCATGCGGGCAACAGGTGCATATACTTCTTCATAGTCAATGCCTTGCCTTTGCTTGTATCCTTTAGCCACAAGTCATGCCTTGTATTTCTCAACATCTCCATTAGCATTCTTCTTTGTCTTGTATACCCATTTAACTCCAATTTCTCGATGACCTTTAGGAAGTGTTGTTAACTCCGAATTGTTGTTCTTCTCTATTGACTCGATCTCCTCATGCATGGCTTGTCTCCACATTTTTTCTATAACAGCTTCATCAAAGTTCATTGGGTCACTATCCGCAAAGAGACAATACAAAAAATCAAAATTAGTAACTTCTTCTGTGTCATCATAGAGCTCTCGAATACTCCTCGTCCTTTGCGGTTGTTCCTTTGAACTTTGTTGAGAAAAAGGAGATGCAACATTGGTTGGAGAAGGAGGTGGAGTTGTATCGTGCACAGGTCTCTGGTTCTTTTTCATCACCAAAGCATGGAAGAAACTCATATGAAGTTTCTTCCTGAGCTTCCCAATTCCATACCAATTCTTCATCAAATTCAACATCGCGACTTACCACCACCTTGCCGGTGCTTGGGTTGTATAACTTGTTTCCTTTTGAACTCGTATCATAGCCAATAAACACATGCTTGACACTTCGATCTTCAAGCTTCGCTCTCCCTTATTGTGGCACATGAGCATAGGCTATGCTCCCAAAGATTTTCAAGTGATTGACACTTGGTTTTCTTCCACTCCATGCTTCTTGAGGGGTTTCATCTCTAACATTTCTTGTTGGAGACCTGTTGTTCAAATAACCTGCACAAGAAACAGCTTCGGCGCAAAATTCCTTAGGCATACTTTTAGCTTTCAACATATATCTAGCCATATTAAGAATCGTTCCATTCTTTCTCTCTGCAACTCCATTTTGTTGGGGTGAATAAGGTACCGTTAGAGGGCGACGAATTCCATAAGACTGACAAAAGTCATTAAATTCTTTTGAAGTGAATTAGCCTCCTCTATCGGACCTTAAAGCTTTTATTTCATGGCCACTTTCCTTTTCCACAGGTACTTTAAAATTTTTAAAACCAGCAAAAGCTTCAAATTTTTTATTCAAGAAATAAACCCAAGTCTTTCTACTAAAGTCATCAATAAAAAGCAGAAATTATTTACTTTTACTAAAGGAAGGTGGACTGATTGGTCCACACATATCAGTGTGAACAAGTTGAAGCGGTTTGGTTGATCTTGACATGGCCTCCTTTGGAAACTCCTCCTTGCATGTTTTCCAAGAAGACAAGCATCACATAATTGATTGGGATGGTTGATTGATGGTATCCCATGCACCATGTTCTTTTCTCTCATTGTTTTCAGCGCTTCAAAATTCAAGTGCCAAAATCGCATGTGCCAACACCATGATTCATCTTGCACATTAGCCTTCAAACACTTTGCATCAATTATTTTATGATTCAGATAAAATAATCTATTCTTCGCCATATGTACTGTAGCAATTAGAATTCCACTTGAATTTCTAAGCCAGAGATACATATTTTTCATGTGGATGTCATATTCCTTTTCAAGAAGTTGGCTCAAACTCAAAATATTACTTTTTAATTTTTGCACATAATAAACATCTTGAATTAGCTTGTGACTACCATCTTCAGGAGATCAGAATTGTACCTATCCCTTCGATTTCAATCTTTGAGGTATCTCCAAAGGACACATTACCTCTCACCGTTTTATTGATCTCCACAAACTTCTCTTTTCATCCGCACATATGATTGCTTGCTCCATTAACCAAATACCACGAACTAAAATCATCCCTATCTTCTTCCTTGAGTGCAAGCAACAATGTTGACTAATCTTCTACTTTCTTGTCGTCAAAAAGGTTAGCTTTCTCTTCAATGTTGCTACGACATTCCCAAGGGTAATGGCAAAATTTATGACAATTATAACACTCAATTTTTGATTTGTCATACCTTTGTCTATTATTTTCTTGGTAGTAGCCACGTCCTCTTCCTCCTCTTTGTCCATGACCACGACCTCTGAATGTTTTGTGCATTTTAACTTCATTGTTGAAGTTATTACCGTTACTTCTTCCTCTTCCATGACCGCCACGGCCTCGGCCTGGTGTGTTTCCTCGATAGCTCTTTTCACCTCCATAATCCTTGAAGGATGCTTGAGTTTTAAGAAGTTTCTCCAATGACACTTCTTGTCTCCTTTTGATCTTTTCTTCATGGGCCGAACCCTCCAATTGCTCCATCGTCATAGAGTCTAAATCTTTAGACTCTTCAATAACACATACCATAAAATCGAATTTAGGTATTAAAGTGCGAAGGATCTTTTCTACCACACGAACATTTTCTATGTCCTCCCCGTATCGTCTTAATAGATTTACAACAGCCTTCACTTTTTAACAATAATCCGAAATGTATTCGGATTCTTTCATTTTTAAAATTTCAAAATCAGCCCTTAGATTTTGAAGTTTTACCTTCCTCACCTTATCAACTCCTTGGAGAGAATTTTGTAAAATCTCCCAAGCTTCCTTTGAGGTGGTAGCATCTGTCACCTTCTCAAACATGGCATCATCCAAACTTTGGTGGATGAGCGAGAGGGCTTGTTCATCCTTCTTCCTTGTCTTTTCCAACACATCTTTTTCATTTTGAGGTAGAGCTTCCTCATTATTGGGTTTTGTATACCCTCTATCTACAATTTCCCACACATCATCAGAGCCAAGAATGGATTTTATGCGTAAACACCATTTCTCATAATTCTTTTATGAGACGGGGGTATTGAAATGACAGTGGACCATTACTCGCCATGGCTATGATACCACGTTGTTGGAAAAAATAATATCTCGCCCAGGAATAATACACATGGCAAATAATAATAACACAAGAGAGTAACAACGACACCAAATCTTTTAACGAGGCAAAATACAATACACGAGCAGAGCAATATTATCACAATAATATTACAACTTAGTAGTGTCAAGAGACTACTACAACTTCGAATGAAATAACACTCTTTATTTTAAACACCTCAGAACAATATTACTCACACTCATTATTTATCTCACAGACTACAATATGTGAATTACTCTCTCTATGCTCTATTCGCTCTTTGATTTTGGTGTGCTTGAAATGAAGAACGAAGGCTTCTATTTATAGCCAAAGTTGCCGTCCCTTGTAACCAATCAAATTTGATTTTACAAAAATCAGATTTGCCTTTTTCCGAATCAGATTTGGCTTTGCAAAATTAGACTTGTCTTTGCAATTTGCAAATGCAAATAGCACAACTTGTTTCGGCCATCTATTTTTCTTTTTCTTTTATTTATTTTAAATGGTTCCCAAACTAGACACATTAGCAGGAACATAAATCTTGAGAAGTACTTCATCAGTAGTACACAAGAAGAATAAAATCGTAAAGTTAAAACATCATGTTAGTTATGGTTTTTAAAATATTTTAGTAAACTTGAGCGGATCAATAGTATTCCCTCAATAGCAATTTCTAATACACAAGCATTTTGGACTTGGAAGAATTCTCCAAATCAAGACCAAATATCAAGTGAAAAACATCTTAATGGACAAAAAACTGCAGAATATGATGACTTATAGAAATGTGATTTATACCAAACATGTGTTGAGAGTGAAGCAACTGATAATCTAACCAGTTGCATAACTGAACCATGAAGAAATTTAAAGATGCAAGCTACTTTTATGAAATCAAACCAACAAGCTGCATTTGTCTTTGGCTAATCTTTATAAATAGCAACAACAGCGAGAAGAGTGTATATGCAATAGCAACAAAGTGAAAAATGAAAAAAAAACAGCAGTAGTGAATCGGAGAAAGAAGGGAAAAAGACAACATCAATGGCCAAGAAGGAGGAAACATCTCCAGGAAGAAGAAGAAGAAGAAGTAGAAAGAAGTACACATACCTGGAGTTTCTCAGAGTTCCAATACCTAAGGTGTTCCTTAAACCGAGAAGCTAGAACATCTTCAGGGATATATTGCATTCGAGTTTCATTATTGTCATAGGCGTCAAAGTGATCGTTTTTCAATCTACTCTTGTACTTTCTCCGAGCAGCATGCAATGGTTCCAAAGTGCGTATTTTCCAGCTTCAAGAATATCATATTTATCCTACAATTGGTGTCAAATCTACTAGTGCAGAATATATGAAAGATTTTCAGCCAAAGCTTAAAAATTAAGAAGTTCAGACCTTGGTATATTCCCATATATCCTCTTATGTGTCCTTCCTCCAATCCCAAATATGAAGAGGACATAAAGTCGTATTCCTTGCCAATGTGCTGAGGAAGCTTCCAAAATCTATTACAACTGCTTCAATAGGACCAACGAGTTGATTTAAGTTGTTAAGTAAAATCAATTTATGCTCCTGTCCTCCAGGTACATTTTTCATCTTTGTTCTACATCTTTTGCTTGTTTGAATAGAAGGGCCTACAACTATACAAACCAAAGAAAACCACCAAATCACTAGTTTTGATACAATATTTATGAGTGAAATAGGATGTATGTATTTTTAGATAAAATCTATATGTTCTTACCTTGTTCATCACATTGTTCGTGTGCGATAGGAGTTATAGAATTCAACTAAACTTGTTCCTCTATTACTTGTGTTGC